TGTGTAAGCCATGAATGTTGATAGATGTGGAACCTCAGGATACAAGAGGGAGTGATTCATATCTCACTTGTGTAAATCAAAAATAATTCCACTGAAGTCAATGCCATAAAATAGCTGTAAGTTAGATCAGATTGAGATTCATAGTCTCCTTTAAATGAATACAACCTCACAATAATAAAACTAGTAAAATTTTAACCTAGACACAGTAATACCATGTTTGTGTCAAAGAGATCAATAGTTTATTATCACGACAAAACTCTAGTTCAAGTCAAATGGCTATGTGAGCAACAAAGTTGTTATAACATACTGGCTCCTATGTGCCTGTTACTTTTTCTCTTGCTATCTTGTTTCTTCTTTGAACAACATTTGAAGTTACTCTGAAGAAGTTCAGGAAAATGATTTTTCCCTTCAGGAATTTCATTGAATGATATTACTTACTTTCTTATCATTCAAGTCACTTTGTAATGGTGGTTTTACTGAAGGTTAATTTTGTATCTAGAATTCAGGATGCTTTTCTGAAAATAAATTCTAATGCAATTATGTGTTAATCCAGCATGTGTGCAGTGTTGCTGAGCTGAAGAAAATCTCTGTGTACCTGGACAATTTCTCTTTTTCACCAACAGAAGTTGGTTTAATAATACATATTACCACATTCATGTTGTCTCTCTAAAATCCAGTACAGGTTGAACCTTGGGACCTGACCGGTGCCGAACCAGAGAATTTTCCGGACCATGGGAGGTCAATATTACCAACATTTTCACTGCTTACTGGGCTCTTAGAAGACATTTAGGGTAAATTAGAGCTAAATAACAGTACAGAACACTGAGAGCCAGGACTGGTGGCTATAAACAAACTTTATGGGACTGCAGGAAACTTGGCCAAACCCATAAGTGAACATCTGGGTCATGGATGTTGCCAGCCCAGAGAATACCAGACTAGAGAGGTTCAACCTGTATAATGGAAGATAGCTGTTAAATGGAGACCTCCAGAGCATATTATTATTTCCTATTCCTTTGCCTACACTTTTAGCATGATATGTGAGCTTGAAGTAATAGTGGGAATCAGAATGCTTTGCATATTGTTTATTGGAATAACCCTGCTCTATTTAATATGAGGGAGAGATTTTACAATCTCGTGCAAAGCCTGTTACACAAAATTGTGACTTCCCACAATGTTTGCAAATCAAATATTCCAGTTTAAGAAAAAAATTATGTTGTAAAAGTCAGAGTCCAAGGCAGTAGGTTGAAGAAGCAATTTTCTTTTTCACAATGCATGGTGATTTCTCTCTCTCTCTCTCTCTCACACACACACACACTCTCACTCACTCACTCACTCACTCTCTGTCTCTCTCTCTCTTTCTCTCATGTTTCTTTCCTTGTGGGAGCTGATTTGTCTTATTACATGCAATTTTTTCTTGATTAATTGTTGTAAGTAAACTGTCTGGAGTACAGGAAAAGATATAAATTGACTGCAGTTCCAATTTATGCAATTTGCAGCACCATTTACATAAAACTAAGAGAACTGTATCTCTCTGGGATTCTGTAATGAGTGGGATCCCTAAAAGTGAGTTGAGAGTAACTTTTTTCCATCGTCTGCCATTGCATCACTGGTACTCTAACTCAAGATTGCTCTGATACAGCTAGATCAACGCTATCATCAGTATAACGTATATGTGCTTCAGTCACACTTTCCAACTGCAGCTTAGACATACCCTGTGATTTTCTACCTCTTGCTTTTTCTAATAGCTGGCATAGTTCACTTTGTTCTAATGAAGAATAAGTATTAAGTTAACATGTTGGTCTTTCTCTTTCTATAAAATTGCTTTCTATAGTAAGGACTCAGCAAAGAGACCAGAGAACAATGAACTTTGCACCTGACATAAATCTAAATACAAATAATTTTGATCTTTCTTTTGTAATTCAAAATAATCACTAAAATCATCTGTCTGTATTTATCTGATATAGGAGGAAAAAAAATCTAATTATGGAAAGAAATCTTTGAGATAAAAATACTATGTGATTTTTGCAGTTGTGCATGCCAACATACTGATTAGAAATAGAATTGTATAAACTGCAATAATCATGATACTAATCAAGGATTTATGGGACCAAGATTCCATGGTCATGGATGCAATAAAAATACATAATTAAATGACTGAAATGTTGAGGAACCAAGCAAGCAAAGGGTAACTAAGGATATATCGAATAGTGGTAGAAATGTAGCCGTGTTAGTCTGTTGCAGCTGAAACAAAAAACAGGACAGTGTAGCATTTTAAAGACTAACAAGATGGTTTTGTGGGCCAGACCCACTTCCTCAGATCAAATAGTGGAAGAAAATTGTCACAACCATATATACCAAAGAATACAATTTAAAAAAATGAACAAATATGAAAAGGACAAATCAAATTTCAGAGCAGAAGGGGGATGGGGGGGAGGTAAATGTCTTAGCCTTCGCCCCGCAAGCTTGTGTCAGCTGGCATGGGTCAGCCATAGCTGTTTGACTGCAGTGTAGATGTTCCCTGAGAGACTTGAGTTATTCCGAGAGCCAGATAAAGGCATAGGTATTAAAGACCAATATTAGAACCCAAGCACCTTGAATCATGTGATCACTTGAGAAGAGTATTTCTAGCCCTACTGGTTGCAGAAAATCTGTACATGTCTGTGGGGGTTTTAATATCTAAGATCAACTTCTCTGTGGGGCCCCACTAATACTTCTTCTTCTCCCTCCTCCCCAAAATAGAGGACTGTGTGTTGCAGGAAGAGTACAGTGGATTCTGTCTTACCCACCTACTCAACAACTCCAGCCCCTCTGAGGAGCCATGAGGGAGGAAGGGAGGTTCATGTCATAATGTGCCAACAGCTCTGATTTCTCTAGTCCTTGTAATTCCTTTGGCCTACCATCCCTTTTCTCCTGTACATTTCTATTAGTGATGCTGTCAGAAATTAATATAAAGAAACTTTAGAGTTTTGACCAATAATTTTTTCTATTACATTTTTCTTAAAGGTCTTTTACAATTTAATTTCTCTCTAATAATTTTTTTACTGAATTGTATATGGAATCACCTAAGTAGAATCAAGGCACTTAAAAAATCGAAACCAAACCGCTGCCAGAAATTCAAGCCATGAAAAGTATGTTTCTTCTTCGAGAAGTGTCCTTGTTGGTGCTCCACCGTAGGTGTTTAGGGCGCTGATGTGTGTCTAGTCAGAGATTTTTGGTAGCAGTGCCCTCCGGTAGGCTGTGCGCACAGAGTAGACAGCTCACACAGTGCCACTACTATGTATGTGCAGCCAACTGTCCCCTCAGTTCCTTCTCTGCTGACAGCAGCATCGGTTGGAACCACCGTTGCTCTCCAGCTTTTTGCCAAAATTTTCAACATTTTCTTGTTATTATCATTAGTATAGTTTAGTAATAGTGTTCCTAGTTAGTAGTAGTTTTCTAGTTACTGGTAATAATTGTTTAAAAAAAAACTTTTTTATTTTAGTTGTTAAGGCCGTTTGCCTTAGCAAGTTTTTTCTTTCTGGGATGCCACATTCCCCAGGATTCAAATGCTGCCTGTCTTGCAGGCTCTCAATTCCCATCTCCAGTGGGCATTCACAGTGTGTCCAGTGCCACCCAGTGCTTCCACTGCAAGCAGCTAACGGTCCACACGTGGAAGGCAAGGGAGCTCCAGCTTAAATATCTTTCCCTTGAAAACACAGTAAGGCCAGTTTCAGATCTGGCACTGTACCCTGCCTCTGCAGCTTCTCGCCATGCCATGTCCGAGAAGGAGGCTCCAGCGGGCTCTCTTCCTCAGAACAACCCAGGAAGAGATCTCATTCTTCAAGTAAGGGTGATTCCCTTCAGAAAAATGGGGGCAAGCACCCAAGATAGCCCCTCACTGACCTCGACCAGGGCACCAGACAGGGATGTACCGGGACCATCAGGCACTGACAGTTCCCGAGGGTCCAAGGACCTCACCAAGATGGGTACCAAGGTCCCAGAGAAGCCTAAGTCTAAACCAGTGCCACTGGAAGCATCTGATCCCATCTCAGTGCCCACAAAGGTGAAGGCAAAATCAGCATCTGCTGAGGCGCCGCTTACACCGAAGAAATCCAGGCCTCACTCAGCACGTCGGCGCCTATGCCACCTCCAACACTGAAGAGGCACAAACGTGGTATCGACAGCCTCCCATGTGGCACCGCAGATTGAGGCTGTAATACCCTCCACACTGCCTCCCACTCCAGTTATACAGCACCCAGCCGTTTACTACTAAAAAGGAGCTCATGGTAACTTCGGTGCCCATGACCCCATCTCAGTAACATACCTCTTATGGACATTTGCAAATCTACTATATGGTCCTCTGCTCATATGTTCACCTATTATGCCCTTGATACTTACCTCTCCCAGGGTGTACTCAATTTGGGCACACTGTTCTGGATGCTATCCAAAATACTGACTAACCGAAGCACACACCTCCAATCACAGGTACTGCTCTTTAGTCGCCTAAGGTAGAGCACCCACAAGGACACTCCTAGAAGAAGAAGAAGAAGGAGGAGCAGGAGCAGGAGCAGCAGCAGGTTACTCACCTTGTGCAGTAATGGAGGTTCTTCGAGATGGTTGTCCCTCTGGGATCTCCACCACCCGCCCTTCCGACCCTCTGCTTTGGACAGGGTTATTTTTCTTCTGGTGCAGACAAGGAATGGAGGGGACAGATGGCTGCACATGCATAATAGCGGCAACACATGTGCCACCTTCTCCATGTGTGCAGCCCACTGGAGGGCACTGCTACCAAAAATCTCCAACTAGGCACGCAGCGGCACCCCGAACACCTAAGGGAGAGCACCTAGAGGGGCAACCATCTCGAAGAACTTCCATTACTGCACAAGGTGAGTAACCCTCTCTTCCTTCTGGTCCCATTAAATGGCAACTGGTTTTGTCACTTCAATGGATTATTTTTGTGTTTCACTGAAACCTGTGGTGACTCTGTGTGATATGGTATGTCCCTCTGCTTTCTTTTGTAGATCTTGGCAAGCAATAACTTTTGACAGACAACCTGCATCCTTCATCAGAATAGTTGGAACTCACAACACAGCTAATGAGGTATGGAACAGTTTTTTTTCTTGAAGGATATGTAGATTTCATTGCATTTCCATTGTAAACTATTAATAATGCCTAAAATGGCATTTTTATGCCTATGTTTATTGCTTTTCTAGCAGTCTTTTGAAGAAGAAAGAGTATTTTCCTCACTTTGCCATTATCTTTCTAGACTGTGAAGGTTTCTTCACAGCCAAATGTGAAAACCACTGTAGTGCTTTGAGAGATGATAGCTAGGTTGAAAAAAGCTAGGTATCTTTCCTTCTTCCTTAGATGGAGTTTTTTATTCTTGACCTGGAGATGTCTATATTGTAGCTTAGGTCATCTTAATTACATCACAGCAAGGCATGGAATTTTTCACAGCTCCGAGGACAAGTCTATACTGGCACTTAAAAATTCTGTAACTTTCTGTTCGGGGTGTGAAAACACACATACACCTGAGTGCTGCTGTGCTCCCGCCACTGTTAAATACTCCCCTCACAGACATGGTTTACATTGAGCACTGGGAGAGCTCTCTCCCAACGCCTGTGGCGTGACCACACTTTCAGTTTAAAGTGCTGCCACTGAATTCAGATTATTTACGGTAGACACATCACATTGTGCACTAGCTAACCTGCAGTATATAACCATGTAATCTTTTAATTGTTACCTTGCTACTCTCCCCTCTTCCTGTAATGTGAGACAGTCCTCACATATTGTCTCAAATCCATGGAGAGGAGGATCATCACCTTGTAGCGGTGGAGAGGCTTGCGTGTTCCAGTGACCCCGAGAGTGACGCTGCCTAGAGTAATGTGCTCCCTTAGGATCGCCCATAGCAGAACTGTCAAAGGCAAGGTTCCAAACAAAGTGTGTTCTAAGAAGTCCTCAGCGACAGAGCATATGGAGGATAACTGCACAGTGGAGTTGTGTAATGTTACAGCGGTTGTGAAGGCTGCAACATATAAAGGATCTCCAATTGTTGTGGTGTCCATGCTATTGGTTTCAAGCCCTCTGTCTGTCAAGGTGTTGTGCACCAGTCTCCCCACTTTTAAAAGAAGTCCCACAGAGGAATCTTTCAGTTTTTTGCGAAAACAGCACCTGCTCAAGTCAAAAGTCTGGTGGCAATCAGCGAGTGGCTATAGGGAACAGGACAGTGAGATCCAGAAGTTCCTAGTCACAGAGTGTGTGATTCAGTCATCTTGCTCGAGGACTGAAGCAGTTTGAGCATCTTGGCAGTTGCACCCAGGACTGAGCAAGCCTCTTTGGGACCGACTTTGCAAACCTCATATGGGGAGAGGGCTAGAAAAAGTTCCCTAAAATAGTCTTGCCTATTTTCCTCTTGGTTGGATAGATGCATCCAGCAGGATCACCACCCAGCAGTCAAAAATATAAAAAACTTTTCAACTTTGGAAACTGGAATGTACGTACCCTCGTGGACAACTCAGACAACGACTGACCAAACCAATGTACAACTATCATTGGCCATGAATTGAATCGGTATAACACTGATATTGCTGCCTTGTCCAAAACTAGAAGAGCTGGTGAAGGTGAGGAAGGAGAAAAGAGGATACACCTACTTCTGGAAGGGAAAATTTCTAGATGAACCTCGATTGTATGGAGAAGGCTTTACTATTAAGAACAAGCTTTTAGGTGCCTCTCTGAGCTGCCAGTAGGTGTCAATGAGCGGCTTATGACACTCCGATTGAGGCTCACCAAAAACCAACAGGTAACTATTGTGAGCACCTGTGCAACAACAATGGATGCCAATGAGGATGTAAAGGAAGATTTCTACTCTCGGAGACCATTTTATTGGAGACCCCTAAAGAAGATAAGATCATTCTTCTGGGGGATTCAAGGCACTCATTGGATGAGACTCAAACCTGTGGAAAGGGACAATCAGGAAAGGAGTTGGCAAAAGTAACTCAAATGGAATCTTGCTCCTGACCAAGTGTGCTGACCATGAACTTATCATCACGAACACACTTTTTTGAGAAAAGGACAAGTTCAAAACATTTTGGAGACGCCCCCATTCAAAGCACTGGCATCTTCTCAACTATGTCACAAAGGACAAGTTCAAAACATTTTGGAGACGCCCCCATTCAAAGCACTGGCATCTTCTCAACTATGTCACAGTTTGTGCTTGAGATCATAGTGATGCATTTCTCACAAGAGCAATGACAAGTGCTCATGACTGCCGGGTTGATCACTTCATTCGATCCACAAAGAAAATTAGGATCACCCCAATATAGAGGCTGCAAAAGAAGCAGGACAGGCGCAAGATGAAGGTTCAAGATCTGAAGTACCCTATTCAGCATGACCACTTCCAAGCAGTCTTACAAGAAAAGCTTCGGTCAGAGTTTCTGGAAGAAATTGAGGAACGTTGGAGCCAGCTGAAAGCAGTAATCATCAATACCTGTGAGGAAACCATAGACTACCACACCAGAAAGCATTAGGACTGGTTTGATGTGCATGATGCTGAAATCAAGCAACTCATCAATGACAAGAGAATGGCATTTCGTGCTTGGCAGAATGATATAAATTGCAAGACAGAGAAGCCTATGCTAAGGCAAAGGTAGAAGGCCAATGTAAAACCAGAGAACTCAAGAACAAATGGTGGACTGAGAGAGTTCAAGAACTCCAACATTTCATAGACACCCATAATATGTGAAGTTTCTTTAGTGCCATTAAGGCTGTTTATACACTAGACTGTCATGGCATGAACCCCCTTCACTCTAAGGATGGAACCACACTTCTGAAAGACAGTGCAGGAAAGCACATTTTGAAGATCTTCATTTTCCTCTGGTTTATATAGTGTTTGAATAATAGAATCATAGAATCCCAGGGCTAGAAGAGACCTCAGGAGGTCATTGAGTCAAGCTCCCTACCCAAAGCAGGACCAACCCCAACTAAATCATCACAGCCAGGGTTTTCTCAAGTCAGGACTTAAAAACCTCTAGTGATGGCGATTCCACCATCTCCCTAGGCAACCCATTCCAGTGCTTCACCACCTACCTAGTGAAATAATTTTTCCAAATATCCAACCTAGACCTCCCCCACTAAAATTTGAGACTATTGCTCCTTGTTCTGCCATCCGCCACTACTGAGAACAGCCTCTCTCCATTCTCTTTGGAACCTCCCTTCAAGAAATTGAAGGCTTCTATCAAATCCCCTCTCACTCTTCTCTTCTGCAGACTAAATAAGCCCAAATCCCTCAGCCTCTCCTTCTAGGTCATGTGCTCCAGACACCTAATCATTTTGGTTGCCCTCCACTGGAGCTTGTCCAATGCATCCACGTCCATTCTGTTGTGGGGGGCCCAGTACTGGATGCAATATTCCAGATGTGGCTGCACCAGAGCCGAGTAAAGGGGAATAATCACTTCTCTAGATCTTCTGGAAATGCTCCTCCTAATGCACCCTAATATGCCATTAGCCTTTTGGGGTACGAAGGCACACTGTTGACTCATATCCATCTTCTCATCCTCTGTAATCCACAGGTCCTTTTCTGCCAAACTGCTTCTTAGCTAGTCAGTCCCCAGCCTGTAACAATGCTTGGGATTCTTCCGTCCCAAGTGCAGGACTTTACACTTGTCCTTGTTGAACCTCATCAGATTTCTTTTGGCCTAATCCTCCAATTTGTCTTGGTCACTCTGGACCCAATCCCTACCTCCCAATAGATCTACCTCTTCCCCAAACTTAATGTCATCCGCGAACTTGCCAAGGGTGAAATCTATCCCCGCATCCAGGTCATTAATAAAGATGCTGAACAAAACCTGCCCTAGAATCGATCCTTGGGGCACTCCACTTGAAACTGACCGCCAACCTGACATCGAGCCATTGATCACTCCCCGTTGGGCCTGACAATCTTGCCAGCTTTCTAGATCCAGCTTCCTTGTTAGCCAGTTTGACACTTGTTTTATTTTTTGTAAAGCACTGTACAATAGGATCAACAGTCTTATTGTGTACTACACCATGTCCTCAGTGATAATTGAGTTTGTAGTGTTTTTTGGTTATCTCTCAAGCTTTTTATCTTAAATTTCTCTACATTTACTGAAATGTAATAAATTGTCCTGACAGCTCCTCTACTCCTACTCTATCAATCTCTGAACCTGGTGTACTTTTAGTCTGCCCCCAGTACAGTTGTACATCATCTGTTAATGTCATTATCTGCTGCTTCTTCTAAGTCACAAATACATACAGTATAATGTATAAAATCATTCCTCTAACCCAATAGTTTCGTCTATCTACCTTGCACTGTCTCTATTTGGATATACCTTAATTTGTGGCACTTAATATTAATTTACACTGCAGCTCTTTGACACTGCTCTGACAGTATAAAATAGCCCTAGCATAGGAGTAAATTATATTTATATCAAGTTTCGTTCCACAAATACAATTTGTATCCATTTTAGGGCCATTTTGGGCTTCTGACCAATATAATTGGGTCTTACTGTAAATGAGAATCAGGTCCTTTATTTTTTATTTTTTATCCTCTTAGTTCATAAAAATCACTATGATGTTTCATATAGGGTTACAAATCATGAAAGAAAATGTTAAACTCAGGCTATGTCTAAACTACATTTCTCTTCCGAAAGAGGAATGTAAAGGAGGCTCATGGAAAATTCAAATGAAGCATGGATTTACAAATCTCGCGCTTCGTTTGCATAATCGCTTGCGAGCGCTTTTTCGAAAAAGAAACCACCGTCTAGATGGGGTTCTTTTGGAAAAAAAACCCACCTTTTTTTAAAGAACCCATACTCCTGAAAAAATGAGGAGTATGAGTTCTTTGGAAAAGGGTTGGGGTTTTTTTTGTTTTGTTTTGTTTTTTTCCGAAACAAACCTGTCTGGACTGCAGTTTCTTTTTCAAAAAACCCTTTTTCGAAAAAGCACTCACACGCAATTAGGCAAATGAAGTGCAAAATTTGTAAATCCGTGCTTCATTTGAACTTTAGATCGGCCTCATTTACATTCCTTTTTTGGAAGAGGAATCTAGTTTAGATGTACCCTCACATTCTTCTCTCTCAACTTTT